TTAATTCTCTCTCTGGTAACAAAGGAAAGCCTCCAGCCACACGGTACATGCGCAGTAAACGCTGTAATAGCTGGGTCAGCCACCCACACAGCAGAAAAACCAAACGCAGCACCCCCAGCGCTGTTCCGATCTCCTTGGTTAAAAGTGCTCCCGGTGCGAAAAAAGTCTTTAGATTCAGGCTGCTGGAGACAGAAAGTTACAAATATTTCCAGCCCTCTTAGATACTCATTAGCTGATGACCATCAAAACATATTTTTTTTGCCCTGTCCTCCGGTGCCCTGGTCATGGGTCAGTCCCTCCATCAGCTGTGTGTGAAGGATTGGAGAGAAACAGCCTGTTTGTGAATGAGGACGCAGCCGGCCAGGGCGGAGCTGGGCGACTCACCTTTCTTCTCCATCCGTTTCATGTCCATCAGCTTCTCCACATTGTTGGGGTCGTTCAGCCACAGCTGCATCCGGACGAAGGGCTCCCGTCCTTTCAGACTGAGCTTATGCCAGGGTTTTGGGCGGGCAAGGAGGTCAGAGACGGAGCCTTGGGTGAGCCCTAAGATGGTTTCCCCAAACAAGCGCTGGCCTACAGAGAAAACAGAAGCGAGACAGGTATCATTACCGAGAGCCAGGGATCCGAGGGGACAAGTATGTGTCACAGTTAAAATCAGACACAGGACTTTAAAGGCCCAGGGTTGGGCTGGCGATGTCCTAGCTTACAGCAAGTGTGTGGTAGAAATATATCTTCAACCAGACTTTTAATACACTCCGTTGGCGAGGGCGCTGGCATTGCCCTTGAATTCTTCGTACACATAACTGATGATGTTTCTCTCTTTTTCTTTTTTGAGACAGAGTTACTCTGTCACCCAGGCTGGAGTGCAGTGGTGCGATCTCGGCTCACTGTAACCTCCGCCTCCCAGGTTCAAGCGATTCTTCTGCTTCAGCCTCCTGAGTAGCTGGGACTACAGGCACGTGCCACCACGCCTGGCTAATTTTTGTATTTTTAGTAGAGACAGGGTTTTGCCATGTTGGCCAGGCTGGTCTCAAACTCCTGACCTCAGGTGATCCACCTGCCTTGGCCTCCCAAAGTGCTGGGATTACAGGCGTGAGCCACCACGTCCAACCAATGATGTTTCTCTTAAGCCTTCAGCTGGGTGCGGGGGCCAGAAGGGCCTCTAGGGGGCTGAGGCAGGAGGATTACCTGAGTTCAGGGATTTGAGACCAGCCTGGGCAACACAGCAAGACTCAGTCTCTACAAAAATACACACACACAAAAATTAGCCAGGCATGGTGATACACACCTATAGTTCCAGCTACTTGGGAGGCTGAGATGGGAGGACTGCTCGAGCCCAGGAAGTTGAGGCTGCAGTGAGCTATGATCACACTACTGCACTCCAGCCTGGGCAAGAGAGAGAGACTGTGTCTCAAAAAGAAAGAAAGAAAGAAAGAAAGAAAGAAAGAAAGAAAGAAAGAAAGAAAAAGCCTTCAGGCTTTGTATGTGCTGAGGTCACGCTACCACCTGTGGCATTTCTCAAGAGGCAGTGAAATCCCTCAGCCAGAGCTCAGGATGTCACACAGCAAGCAGGAGACCTCTCTCGGACAATCTCAAATCAGAGGGCAGCCTGTGTCTCCTTCCACAATTAGCAAGGTTATCAGGTCTCGCTGAGAAAATGGGGCACACAACCCACAATCACAGCAGGACGAAGGAGAGAGAGCTGCCCAGCTCTGCTTTGCTGAGAGGCAGCCCGATTCCAATTCCAAGGTTGGCTTTTGCAGCATAGGCTGCCTTTGCTAAATAAAGTAGCTGGAAGAGGATCAAAACCCCTTCCCAAATACCTTTTCTTCTCCCAGGCAGGGGTAGGTAGCCCACTTCACAGGCTGATCAGAGGGCATTTCACGATGGAGAGCACAGCCGCATTGAATTGGCAATGCTTGTCGGAGGCTCAGAAAGAAACGCTCACTTCTCTGAGGGCCATTCCGCTGCCGGTTTAGAGGGCCACCACTTGTAAAGGTACAAATCGGGATCAATGAGAACCTGGATGGCCTGATGGGAGTACTTGAATGAACAGGACTTATTAGGTGGAAGTGGAGATTGGGATCAGAGGGGCCGGCGTTTAACCCCATAAAGCGTACAGATCAGAGCACCTCTCCCAGTCCGGGGCAGGGAGACGGCAGAGGGCTGGCTAGTTGTCTCTGCGGCTCACATCCTTTGAAACAGAAACACCTCACACCAGCTCCTAAGAAGGGGTCTCCAAGTAAAAGATTACTGCCTGGAAAACTCTGAAGTTGAGAAATTAATTTCTTATTAGTGTTTTTTTTTTTTTTCCCTAAAGAAAGGGTCTCGCTGTATTGGCCAGGTTGGACTTGAACTCCTGGCCTCAAGCAATTGTTCCACCTCAGCATCCTGAGTAGCTGGGATTACAGGTACGCACCATCATGCCTGGCTTGGTCATTTTAAACTCAAAGATAAATTTACTGATTTTGTAAATCTGTGGTTTCTCTGCGTTTCAAACTCTTTCACCTATAAATGTCCCAAGTCCTTATGATTTTTTTTTTGCAGTTGTTATAAGTAAATTTTGTTTAATGCTAACATGGCGAACGAATCTATTTTCATTCCAAGGAGCTTGCTATCTTCAGGAAAGCAATAAATATGAATCGCTAGTTACTTTTTGCTTCAGCCTCCCAGTTGAATGGGGAAGAAAAAAAACCAGATGATTATTCCTGGATGATTATCTGCATTACGCTTAGGACTATCACTCTTAGTCCCAGCCATGACTTTTAATTTTGATTGCTTTTGGGCTACAGACCCCTTTGAGAACCTGAAGAAAGCTACAAACCCTCACCCAGTAAAACCAACATCAACGAAAACTCCATAATGATGGCGGCATGGATGATAACGCCAAGCATCAGATCTCAATGTTCGCAACCTTGTAACTGCGATCTTGCCACTAAACACATCAGTGTTGAAAACGAGACTCTCCCCTGTAATCCCAGCACTTTGGGAGGCTGAGGTGGGCAGATCACTTGAGCCTAGGAGTTTGAGACCAGCCTGGGCAATATGGGAAACCCCATCTCTATTTAAAAAAAAAAAAAAATTAGCCAGACTTGGGGGCGTGTGCCTGTAGTCCCAGCTACTCGGTAGGCTGAGGTGTGAGGGCTGCTTGAGCCCAGGAGTTCAAGGCGGCAGGGAGCTATAAGCGTGCCACTGCACTCCATCCAGCCTGGGCCACAGAGTTAGACCCTATTTGATTTTCAGCATTTACGCGAAATGCCACTTCCTGTATGGGGGTAGGCGGCAGCGATGCATCGGGCCTGCTTCCTTGGACATGTGACAAGCTATGAAGTGAGAAGTGACTTAAGTCTAGGAATCCCTGCACATTGCAATAATTGATGAACACATGGGACTTAGAGCCATTTTTTTTTTTTTTTTTTTTTGAGATGAAGTCTCGATCTTGTCCCCCAGGCTGGAGTGCAATGGCACAATCTTGGCTCACTGCAACCTCTGCCTCCTGGGTTCAAGCAATTCTCCTGCCTCAGCCTCCTGAGTAGCTGGGATTACAGGCACGCGCCACCAGGCCCAGCTGATTTTTTGTATTTTTAGTAGAGACGGGGTTTCACCATGTTGACCAGGATGGTCTCGATCTCTTGACTTCGTGATCCACCCACCTCGGCCTCCCAAAGTGCTGGGATTACAGGCTTGAGCCACCACGCCCGGCTAGAGCCATTTTTTAAATCAACAGCTACAGTCTATTTTTATGAACTGACTTCATTATACAAGGTCTCACTGATAGGACGACACTGTCTCCTGGTCTGTTTGGTTACCGCACTGTACAGATGAAGGGTGGGAGGCTTCCAGCGGACAAGCTGGCATGACCCCTAGGCTGTTAGATCATTGAGCAAACTTTAGTGGAACTCAGATACTCCCCCGCCCTTTTTTTTTTTTTTTAATTATTTTTTTGAGACAGTGTCTTGCTCTGTTGCCCAGGCTGGAGTACAGTGGTACCATCATGGGTCAATGCTGCCTTAACCTCCTGGGCTCCAGTGATCCTCCCAACTCAGCCTCCCAAGCAGCCGCCATGCTCGGATTTTTTTTTTTTTTTTGAGATGAAGTCTCGATCTTGTCCCCCAGGCTGGAGTGCAATGGCATGATCTCAGCTCACTATAACCTCCACCTCCTGGGTTCAAGCCATTCTCCTGCCTCAGCCTCCTAAGGAGCTGGGATTACAGGTGACCCCCACCATACCTGGCCAATTTTTGCATTTTTGGTAGACATGGGGTTTCACCATGTTGGCCACACTGGTCTTGAACTCCTGGCTTCAGGTGATCCACCCACCTTGGCCTCCCAAAGGGCTGGAATTATAGATGTGAGCCACCACACTCAGCGCTTTTTTTTTTTTAAATTTATTTTTTATAGAGACAGGGTCTCACTGTTGCCTAGATTGAGCTAAAACTCCTGGCCTCAGGTGATCCGCCTGCCTTGGCCTCCTAAAGTGCTGGGGTTACAGGCCACCTGTCATCTTCAGGTGAGCCATGGTGCTCTGCCTTCCTTTTCTTCTTATCCCATGGGAGAAGCAAAAGACACACAAGGCCTTTCCATGAGTAGCCAACTCGGTAGGGTTGTGCTTGCATGTACTGCACAGAACACTGACCCTTTAACTGACTTCCACCCTTGAAAAATAAGAAGGCTAGGCCCCACGCGGTGGCTCACGCATGTAATCCCAGCACTTTGGGAGACCGAGGCGGGCAGATCACGAGGTCAGGAGATTGAGACCATCCTGGCTAACATGGTGAAACCCCGTCTCTACTAAAAATACAAAAAAATTAGCCAGACGTGGTGGCAGGTGCCTGTAGTCCCAGCTACTCGGGAGGCTGAGGCAGGAGAATCGCTTGAACCCTGGGAGGTGGAGGTTGCTGTGAGCCAAGATCATACCACTGCACTCCAGTGTGGCAACAGAGCGAGACTGTCTCAAAAATAAATAAATAAATAAATAAAAGACGGATAGAAAGGTGTGTTTCCAACCTCCATGTGCCTAAATCAGGGAACTCTGTCTGGTCAACACCACACTGTGGGAGCATGGTGGTTTAAAGTGACGAGCCAGGCTTGGCCAGCGTGGTGGCTCACGCCTATAATCCCAGCACTTTGGGAGGCCAAGGTGGGTGGATCACCTGAGCCCAGTTGGAGAACAGCCCTGGCAGCATGGTGAAACTCCACCTCTACTAAAAATACAAAAATTATCTGGGTGTGGTGGCACATGCCTGTAATCCCAGCTACTTGGGAGGCTGAAGCAGGAGAATCGCCTGAACCCGGGAGGCGGAGACCATAGTGAGCCAAGATTGTGACACTGCACTCCAGCCTAGCGACAAAGTGAGACACTGTCTCAAAAAAAAAGAAAAAGAAAAAAGAAAGAGACAGTCTGAGTGGATCTTTCTGAGTCCACTCTGACCCCGTGCTCATCTTCTAAGGTCCCCGTGGGGGTGCAGGGTGGGGAGGAGGTGGGGACTGACCTGCAGAACTCACGCTCCTTACTGTTCACAACTATAGGGTGTTTCATGTTCTTACCGGGCGCCTACACGAATTGAGACTCTGTGGCTGGCTCAGCCTGGGGCCCGCCCCACCCTTCACCGGCTCTGCGAACTCCCTGCCCCCTCCTGACTCGGCAGCCGAGAGGAGAACCTACCGAGGTTGTTGTCCGTCAGCACCTCCTTCACCCGCTTGGTGATGCCGTAGGTGTCCAGCTCCGGGGACATGGCTACCAGTTCTTGGATGCTGAGGGCCGAGTGTCCGGAGAGAGGCAGCGGGGTTGCGGGCTGGGAGTCGGATGCTGGCGGGTCACTGGGCTCCGGGGGCTTGCCATCCTTGTTCGCCTCTATAGGGGGACAGGGCTGCTGGACCAGCTCGGTCAGGCTCTTCACCGACTCGCTGGAGCTCATCGGGGACTCAGGGGCAGGGCTGCAGCTGGCGGAGGTCTTTGGAGTGCTTTCTGTAATTAAAGCACAGGAGAAACCGCGCCTGAAAATAGCTGTCTTTCACCGCGAACATCCACGTCCCTTATCTAGGAAATACTAATTAAACGCTCTGTAGGCGAAGCAGACGCCAGGGTTTTCTGTTGGTCTTCGTGAATGGTTTCATATTTTTTTGACTGAGAGTCACCTCTAATCTTCTGTATGAAAAAACAAAAATAGCATCACTGGAAGAAAAACTAAGGGTTTAAAAGAGAGGCTTTGGAAGGCTTAGCATGAGGGTATTCTGCTAAAAAACGATTAATCATGTTATCACTATCATGGTTTCTTCTAATGAAACCCCAATCATTTGGTAATTCAGAAGCACTCTGGCGAGGTCATAACTTGTGTAGTTATTCTGTCCATATTTTCCAGAACAAATAGCATAGACAGATTGTTTTAAATAATGTGTAGTCACCACAGTTATGAAGACCCTTAAGAGGAAACATGGCTGTGTGCAGTGGCTCACACCTGTCATCTTTGGGAGGCTGAGGCAGGTGGATTACCTGAGGTCAGGAGTTTGAGACCAGCCTGGCCAACATGGTGAAACCCCATTTCTATTAAAAATACAAAAATTAGCCAGGCATGGTGGCTGGTGCCTGTAGTCCCAACTACTAAGGAGGCTTAGGCAGGAGAATCACTTGAACCCGGGAGATGGAGGAGGCAGGGAGCCGAGATTGCGCCACCACACTCCAGCCTGGGTGATACAGAGTGACACTCCATCTCGAAAAAGAAAAAAAAATATGAGGAAACACATGGCCATAGCTTTTGGTCTCCCAGCACTGTGGGGCTCAGGACCTAGGGTGGTTTATTTCTATTTTTTTGGAGAGGGGGTCTTGCTCTGTGGGCCAGGCTGGAGTGCAGTGGTGCAATCACAGCTCACTGCAGCCTCGACCTCCTGGGCTCAAGCAATCTTCCCGCCTTGGCCTCCTGAGGAGCTGGGACCAAAGGTGCATGCCACCATGCCCAGCTGGTTTTTGTTGTCAAGACCAGAGAACTCCATAGCACCCAACTCTAGAGGCGAGGAGAGGAGGAACAACCCCTCTGATGCCCCAGCTCTTAGACATTTTAGAGTTCTGCATCAAACCTCAGGACTTGCTCTGAAAACCAGGTTCTTTGCTGGTATAAGGCATGCCGTAACTGATGCCGGAAGTGACTGGGCTGCTGTGGATAAGCCAGACTCTACATTCTGCTCTGCCTTGCTGGCGTTGCAGTGAGTGCCCAGTGGGAAATACCAGCTGGGCTGTGCTGATGAGTGGTCCCTCTGGCCTATAATCTGATAGCAGCCCATAAAACCTGATGAAAGAGGCTGAATTCCAGTTCTGGGATGTCTGGGATAAAGATGTCGGCCATTTCCTAATTTCTGCAGATAGAAACTGTCCAGGAGGAAAAGTGGCTTCGTGCTGAGGTCCTGCCTGCAAGCCAGAATCTCCTCTGGTCCAGCTCAGTGTCTTGGCACGATCCCTCCCCACATGCCCACTGAGGTAGACACAGGGTAAGTCCCCACAGTGCCAGGTAAGAGGGCTCAGGCCATGCTGTCTGCTCCCAGGGTCTTTAAAAAAACTGTTTTGTAGAGATGGGGTCTTGCTATGTTGCCCTGGCTGATTCGAAATCCTGTGCTCAAGCAATCCTCCCACTGCAGCCTCCCAAGTAGCTGGGACTACAAGGCATGCACCACTACACCTGTCTAGTTTTTTATTTTGTAGAGATGAGGTCTTGCTATGTTGCCCAGGCTGAACTCCCGGCCTCAAGTGATCCTCCCTTCTTGGCCTCCCAAAGTGCTGGGATTACAGGCATGAGCCACTCTGCCTGGCCAAGAGGATCTTACGCTTGCTCCTTCTCCCTTGGGCCCTAGAAGGTCACTCCGTCACTATCAGCACCAGAGTAGATACCCCGAAATACTTGTTACCTGGCTGAAAAGAAAATGCAGCACATAGTAGCAACTTAATGTTAATTTACCATTTAACTCATGAGTCCTTTTCTGGACATACTATATCCAGGATATGCTAAACCTGCTGTAAATACATTCCAAATACAAGGAGTATTTTGTATTCATATCTAGAAAGAGCAAAACCCCAAATAAAACAACTGCAACTTAAGCGATCAACCTGTGTATCATCCTGAACCCTCATAAACTTCCACCATCGCATAAAGCTGTGTCCTTGACCTGGGAAATCAGGTTAGAAACAGAAAAACACACGCCAAACTGGCTTTTGAAAGATGTAGAGGAGACAGGCGGAAGAGGCAGAAATGGTCCGTATAAATCTTTAGGGCAATGTGAATCTTACAAATCAGATTTCTTCTCTCTGCTAACCCCCCCGAGTCACCAGAGAACTGGATATAAAACCCCGCAAATGTTATTTTTGTGTCTGAAGCCGGCAGAGGAATTGTACTGTAAGGGTGGCGTGATTCAGCCATGCGAAGGACCGGCCTGGCAGATCATCCGTCTTGCTCACCGGATACTGTCAAGGATGGCATGAATTCCCCAAATGATAAACAGATTTCTTTTCAGGTTTTGTGTCCTTTAACCCACAGCAAGGTCAGCACCACGGCCGCCTGGCTAATAAACCGCGTGTGGCACTTCCTCGTTTTCTTCTGGGCGCTGGTGGAGGCAGAGCTCGCCGTGAAACTCACAGGCTGTGCTGTTCTTTCTTCCAGGGATTCCCTGTGAGCCGGTGGCATGGATTTCTGCCATCATGGACCCCCAGGAGAACTAAACAGGGGCGCTCACTCGTGTTACAGGTATTTCTCTGTGCTCTGGGATGCAACTACAGACAAAGGCAGGACCCCTGAGATCAAAGCCCTTTCCGAGCCCTGAAAGGTCCAGGTGTGTGAAAGCGTCATGTGGCAGCTGGTTGCTGGAGGTGGCCTGTTTCTGTTTCTCTACTCTGAGTCTGAATCTAAAATGCAGAAGACCTTTTGGAGGCCGAGGTGGTCAGATCACTTGGAGGCCAGGAGTTTGAGACCAGGCTGGCCAACATAGTGAAACCCCAATTCTACTAAAAATACAAAAACTAGCCAGGCGTGGTGGTAGGCGCCTGTAATTCCAGCTACTGGGGAGGCTCAGAACATCACATTGGGAAGAAAATCATTCTTTTTTTTTTTTTTTTTTGAGATGGAGTCTTGCTCTGTCACCCAGGCTGGAGTGCAGTGGCACGATCTTGGCTTACTGCAACCTCTGCATCCTGAGTTCAAGTAATTCTCCTGCCTCAGCCTCCCGAGTAGCTGGGATTACGGGCACCTACCACCACGCCTGGCTAGTTTTTGTATTTTTAGTAGAGTTGGGGTTTCACCATGTTGGCCAGGCCGGTCTTGAACTCCTGACCTCAGGTGATCCAACTTCCTTGGCCTCCCAATGTGCTGTGATTACAGGCATGAGCCACCGCACCCAACCCTTTCTTTTTTTAATTATTATTTTTAACTGCATGGAGTGGAACAAAGCTTGCTCTTTCAGAGAATATTGCTTTAATCACAGGGCTCCATGTGCTAATTTTTGGAAAAGAAGAAGTAATGTTTCTTTTCTATTGACCGTATTTTGGACAGTGCACAGAGGGTCCCCTCACCCTGGCCACCCCGACAGGGTGAGCCACTGCGCCCGGTCAAATGTGTTTGTTTCTATAAAGACCTACAGCCAACACAAATCTCATGACCAAGTGCTATTTCTCCCACAATGCCTGGCACATGACAAGACACGTGGGTGACAGACTCAGAAGGCCACATCCCGTACGATGCGTTTATCTTTTTAAAGACATTCAACATTTTTTTAAACTTTAAAAAAGAGACAGCATCTTGCTATGTTGCCCAGGCTGGTCCTTGAACTCCTGGCCTCAAGTGATCTTCTCACCCTGGCCTCCCAAAGTGCTGGGATTACAGGCGTGAGCCACTGTGCCCAGCCACTTGCCACATTTTACAAAGGTAAAATACAGTGTTCTGGCCGGGCGCAGTGGCTCACGCCTGTAATCCCAGCACTTTGGGAGGCTGAGGCGGGCGGATCACCTGAGGTCAGGAGTTTGAGACCAGCCTGGTCAACATGGCGAAAACCCATCTCTACTAAAAATACAAAAATTAGCCAAGCGTGGTGGCGCGTGCCTGTAGTCCCAGCTACTCCAGAGGCTGAGGCAGAAGAATCGCTTGAACCTGGGAGGTGGAGGTTGCAGTGAGCTGAGTTTGTGCCACTGTACTCCAGCCTGGGCAACAGAGTGAGACTGTCTCAAAAAAAAGAAAAATGGTGTCCCAAGACACACAGCCAGGAGCTAGGGGGATGGGCTATATTCTAAACAGCCCCTGGACACCTGGCGGTGCCTGCATCCAGCACCCAAGTGTGTGTTGGTGACGGAGTGACTCTGCTGCCCGCGTTCCCAGGCACAGCTTTTCTACAACCCACGTCGACATGTGTGCATCTCCAAGACTTAACGATGAGTCACAAAAAGCTCATCTACTCATGGGATTGTGGAAGGGAACCAAAACACATTTCATACCAGGCGTGAATGGAGCAGTGAGCTGAGGGCGTTTACATGTGGCTTCATTCAATTGTCCTAATGGCCCTGGGGTGGAAATTTACACCCTATATCCCAGAGGAGAAAACCTAGGCTCAGACAGGCAATCTGACTTCGTTAAAGTCACACAGATGGTGCAAGGATCGGAACCAGATCAGGAGTTGAAAACCTCGATGTTTCTACTGATCCTGCTGTCTGCCAATTCCCATGTGAATCGCAGCCTACCATCATTCCTGCGTTATTTCACTCTCGCTTTATTTTTTTTTTGACAGGGTCTTGCTCTGTTGCCCCAGCTGGAGTGCGGTGGTATGATCATGGCTCACTGCAGCCTTGACCTTCTGGGCTTCAGAGATCCTCCCACCTTAGCCTCCTTGCTAATGTGTGACTGCAAGTAGCTGGGACCACAGGCGTGTGCTACCACGCTGGCTAATTTCTGTATTTTATGGAGAGAGATGCGGTCTTGCTATGTTGCCCAGACTGGTCTT